TTTAAAAGCTAAATGTGGAGGTCATATTTTTGTAAAAGTACTTACAAATTCTTCTGTATTTTCAAATTCGTCATATTTCATACCCTTACACATATAATTTGAACGTTACCGGGTTCAGTGGTTGTACATAGTCATTAAATATTGAATATAACTGTGTACAGACAAGGTTAGTAAGCAATTTTATCACACTAAAAGTAATTGTAAAGTTACATTTTTGTGTATATTGTGTATATTTTATATATGTGTTTATGTATACAATGTATATTTTAACATTTGAAACCTGGCCCCATAGACTTCTACTGTAAGTATATTACTGTAAACAGAATTTTCACAATTTCACAAACTCTAAATATCCTCTTAGAACCAGAAGTGACTGACCTGTCAAATTTTGTAAAGTTCTATAAATATGAAGTACACTCTGTAGCTTTTTTGGAAGGTTTATAATATATCATCCTTTCCTCACTAATAACTAGAAAATCTCTCATCAGTGTCCCAGGTGTACATTTGTGTGCATCAATAAGGTCATTATACTTTCATAATTTCCATAATTTGTTAAAGCATTGCTTTGTTCCTGTAATAGGTGTGGAAAAAATATCCCTCAGAAATGAAGTGACTTTCCTCGCCCACAGACTCTTCCTTCTGAAGTTTTGACTTGCATGCGCCTCAGTCCTCCTTCAATCCCTGCATTTTCTCCTCATGTCTTGTGCATGTCCTAGGAGTGCTTCCGAAATGTGTGGCCTGTGAATGGAGAACCTGTCAAAAGATTTTTGTACTGACCACTTGCCACTATTGGGCTCTGAATGGTCTTGTGTTCAGATTAAGAAGTGTAAAAATGGAGCAACGCAAGCTGAATGACCAAGCAAACTCTCTAGTGGATCTTGCAAAGGTAAGATACCTTTGAGTGAATGTTTGACTAATGCATGATGGAACATTGGAGGTCCGTGTGTGTTTTAGTTTGAATTTTGATATATTGTAAGTCTACAGGTGTCAAATGAACAGACAATATTTTCAAATTTGATTTTTTTTTTTTGTCTACAATATGGTTTCCATATTTGGTACTAATCATTTGTTTCCTTACAAAGAGCAACTAAGCATATGGTTGATGTCAGTTAATTTATTATTTCCTTTACGAAATGTCCTCACGTTCACTTTTGCTATTTATTTCCCTCTTGCTATGCACAATTCATCATGCTGCTTAATGGTCTGGAAAAGCTTTCATCTCCTTAGAAAAAAGAATAACTCATGGGATACCTGACATGTTAAAATAGCCTGATAAATTTTAAACCCTGCATTTGCACTTCCCTCACGGCCATTTTTTAGACGGACTAAAGAGTGAGCCTTGGGGAACACCAGGCACGCTGCCAGCCCCACTCTGCAAAACCAACAGCAACTTGGGAAAGGGACACACTCGAGATCTGATGAGTCAGCTGAAACAGCCTCTCGCACGAGTACACACTCGCTCACACGTCTGAGCTGTGACATTCAAACATCCGCAGTGGTCATATCCCAGCAACCTCTGTCGGGGCTTTGCCGTGAGAGTCATTAGTTAGTGATCCCCAATTACCCTCCTGTCCCGCACCTCCCAAAGAAACCGGAGAGGGTGACATTTGAGGCCTAGTGTGATGTGATGTGACTCGTACTGGTTTCTGTCTCCTTTTATCATTGCTGTAATTGCCTCTCGCCGTCAGAGGGCGGTATAACATTAATCATGTCCGCTGCTGCTCCCAGTGGCAATGAATCCTATAATGCAGCTTAAAGGGGTCATATGATGCGATTTCAATTTTTCCTTTCTCTTTGGAGTGTTACAAGCTCTTGGTGCATAAAGAAGATCTGTAAAGTTGCAAAGATTAAAGTCTCAAATCCAAAGAGATATTCTTTATAAAAGTTAAGAGTTAACCACGCCTACCTAAAACGGCTCATTCTAACACGCCCCCACATATCTATGTCACGATGTGGGAAGATTTGCATAACGCCGCCCAAATGTTCACGCAAAGAAAGAAGGCATAACTTTTATTCTCGCTGTAGTATTGTTGTTGCCGCTGCCATGTCGTGAAGGCGCTGTGTATTTCGTTGTGAAAGCGAAACTACTTTGTTTGGTCTTCCAAAAGAGGACGATATCCGCTTCGTCATGCCTGGAGCTGATCCGTGCTGGTCGCTGAGGGAATACATCAACTTTGCGCTGTGGATCACCGGATCGGCTTTCACCGTGGACGAAGTGGAGTCCAGCCCGGGGTTGTCACATGTGGTTGCCACAAGCCTCCTTCGTCGAATCCGCCGGCCGCACCGTTCTCAAGCCCGCTGCCTCAGCTCACTCTAGCCCTCCGGCCGTTCCTCACGCTAGCCCCCGGCCGCCGCTCACTCTAGGCTGCCGTGTGTGACGCTGTGTTTCGTTGTCATATGACCCCTTTAAAATAACTTAAGCAGCTGCAGTGCTTCTGCAACCTTCAGACAGCCCATGGGCCCTGATATGGTGTGTCTGCAACTTCGGTTCCCACACCTGTGATCCGTTTATTTTTTGCAAGTTCTTTTGTTCATTTTAGCTTTTCTTCAGAAAGTAATGAAGGCAGAGGGATTTGAACAAACCTCTAAGCCAAAACTACATTGCATAACTTGTCCCACACTGTTACAGACTACAGACATGAATTATGCTTCAACTCATGCGACTTGTTGAGGAAAGGCGTGTAGTAATTTTTCTATGCCATCGATTTTTACCTGGTGGGTGATAAAATGGGAGAAAACAAGTCACATTTAATTCAATTAAAGTAGGGAGCTTCAGCTTAGTAGAGATTGAGTGACATTGTTTTTTTTTTATGACTGAAACCTCTTTTTTTTATTTATTTTTTTATTTTAATAATTTAAAGCTGCAGTCCGTAACTTTTTTGTTCAAAATTTACAAAATGTATATGATAGTACACCATGAATCCATTTTCCAAACCGTGTTTTTGGCTTGTCCTGAATCACTACGGTACACCTATAATAAGTGTTTATATTCGAACTATTTAGACTGGTTCGGATAGGTACCGCTGCGGAGTAGCCCAGTAGCCCAGTGCCTGCATGATTCGCCATAGACATAAACAGAGAGAAGTAGCTCCGGCTACAATGTTCTTCCGCAAGACGCACGCAGTTCTGTTTACTAACCGTTAGAGCGCCAAAAAGTTACGGACTGCAGCTTTAATAATTATTATTACAGATAACACAATAAATAAGTTACTTTATCTGTGAATACTCTTTTTAGCTATTAAGCAATTAAGCATTATTCATTGTTAAGGTGCAGAGGCCCAAAAGTGGTTTGATATTTTTAGAGATATTCACACTTTTGTGATTTTTTTGTAACCTATATTTGCACTTTTGTCTATTTTTTTACCGATATTCAGACAAAAAAGCTGATTATTGGCACTTCTTCAGTAAAAAAAAAATCAAACCAATTGTAAAGTGCTAATAATTGGTTTAAAAATAATAATAATTTTATATATATACTGTATATACAGTGGTGTGAAAAAGTGTTGGCCCCCTTCCTGATTTCTTATTTTTTTGCATGTTTGTCACACTTTAATGTTTCAGATCATCAAACAAATTTAAATATTACACAAAGATCATGCAAGTAAATACAAAATGCAGTTTTTAAATGATGATTTCGTTTATTAAGGGAAAAAAGCTGTGCAAACCTACGTGGCCCTACATGAAAAAAGAATTGCCCCCTCCTGTTAAATCATGAAAGAACTGCAATTAAGCACATTATTTTAGAAAGCTGAGTTAAATTTCATTAGCCACACCCAGGCCTGATTACTGCCAGACCTGTTGAATCAAGAAATCACTTAAATAGAAGCTGTCTGACAAAGTGAAGCATGCTTAAATAGCAACACATTATGCCGCGATCTAAATAAATTCAAGAACAGATGAGAATCAAGACAGTTGACATGTATCAGTTTGGAAAGGATTATAAAGCTATTTCTAAGGCTTTGGGACTCCAGCTAACCACGGTC